GAGTTCTTATAATTTTAACAGAATGACAAGAAGCAGTTATTACCGTAAGAAGTTGTCGAGCAGACTACTGAAGCTTTTCGTCTTCAACTTCAGCCGTATTTAAATTTGCTGGCCTCCAGTTACGGTAAACAAAGATATTCAAGCTGTATGTCTGATAAATTTGCGCCCTGCATTTCAAGAGATGCAGGAAATCATTTTGCAACTTTTATTGAAGATCACGAAGTTTTAATTAACATTGTCAGTGGACCTGTATGCCGAATGCGATGTTGCAACACAGTATGATTACAAAGCAGAGCTAACAAACGCCTCCAAAGCTTTTAAGATCACTAAGTGCAGTGTAAACAGTTAAACGAATTCCAAGTCAATCTTACTATAGCAATAGGNAAATCATTTTGCAACTTTTATTGAAGATCATGAATTTTTAATTAACATTGTCAGTGGACCTGTATGCCGAATGCGATGTTGCAACACAGTATGATTACAAAGCAGAGCTAACAAACGCCTCCAAAGCTTTTAAGATCACTAAGTGCAGTGTAAACAGTTAAACGAATTCCAAGTCAATCTTACTATAGCAATAGGTTATTTTACCGATATCACTGAGCAAATGAAATTATCAATCAATGCTTTTCTTTAAAGCAAAAATACGCTTTCATAGATCGTTTTAACTATACTCAATGGAGTAAAAGTGCGAGGTTTTGCAAACTGAATCCATTGAAAACTCTCGGAAACACGTACGAAAGCCCAAAATTAGCAATGTTTGAAAAGAAATGTATGCCGAGAGCAATGTCTGAACCCCAGGCATATATTTCTGGGAAATTACGAACTTTTATGTATTTTTTAATTTGATAAAAAGCTTTTACCCCCTTTTTAATTTAATTTTCATTGTTCATTTATCGTTTAGAGTGTCGTGATTTTTTCGGTCCTTATTTTGCAGCTTCAGGGATGATTTTAATAACATTTCTAGTCTTAGAATAACGCTCTAAAATATTATAATACAAACGCCTGGAACGCCTACGCCGCTTTAAAGTCGCGTTAGAGCCGGTGTCAAACCGTAAAATTCCAAGAGCTTCGATAAAAGTGAGCTCAAGAGAATCTGTCGCAATTGTTGGTTTCAATGAGGTTATTAGGACGTATTTAATTTGATACGATGGTAAAGAAACACGAATATCAGTCGGAACATAGGGCTTCATCCTCCCTTGGTCGAAATAAATGATGTTTCATATCGATTTCATACGATCGTAAAAAAACAAAGGTCAGAGGGCAGAGTATTTGAGATTGAATAGAAGGTGTAATCGCCTGAATACTCTTCGAAACACTCTTTTTGAGTCATTTGTAATCTCGTCAACAACATATGAAAAGAAAACGAAGAAAATCACAACCTCAGTAAAGGTTTGTATATATATAAAAGAGATTATTACTACCTGAGATGAAAATCAATCAGAATGAACGGTGGAGACATACAGACTTTTATGCCCGTGAAGCATCAATTTGAGTCTTCAATAACTACTAGAATTTTCATTTTATGAGCATTAATCATTAAAAATAACTTGAAAGCTGTTTTTCATGCACAAAATGATGGTACGTAAAAGGTGAAAATGTGTGTAAACTTTGCACCTTTTTAAAATTAAAAACCGGAAAACTAGGCCCTTTAAGATAATTAATGTACTTTTATAAATAACAGACGAGAGAGTTTGAGGCAATGAAAACATTAAAAACAAATCTAGTTGTGTTTAATACTACCATCAAGGCTACACCTTTCCTTAATTTTACTTAAGTTTGTAAAATTGTCCAAACAACTACAATGGAATTGCTGGTAAGAAAATGCTTGACGGTGAGCTACGTAGGTGGAAACCGACTACAGATGTCAGTGTTAATTACAGTTCGGTTTTATAAGTACAGGATGTTAAACATAGCAACCTATTCACTTTGAACCCGTTAAATGTGTAATTAAGGAAGGTTCTCGAAAGTTGGAATTTAAGGTTTGCTCATTAAAACAAAGGCAAACCTCGCTTTTCATACCTATTTTTTTTCGGTTTTGCTAATGAGCTGGTTACCTGATTGAATTTAAAGGAAACAGAAATATAAAAGTTTTTCTTTACCCTGCAGTCACGGTGACTGCATGTTTTCGTTGAAAGAGACGTTGTTGAACGTGTTTGTTACGGTAATCTGGAAAAAAAAAATTAAAACGATTTTATTGCGAAAATCTGACCTAAATCGGAAAAATCGAGACACAGCTGCTGATCGCACGCTTGACGCAGCTTGAAAAAGCCTATGAGAAAGATATCCCGGATTGGCGATTTACCCAGTTACTGAGCGTAACCGTGGTGCTCAGCTTGTCTTGAACGAAATAGGCGAAAATTTTAGACCTCCTCTCCCCGCCCTATAGATCAGAAAGGGAAATGGCGCGTTTTGGCGTTCGCGAGGTTTCATTTTTGTTTTCAGGGGAATGGGGGTTTGCTTTTCCATTTTATTTTTTTGAAACGATTGTAGCCATTGTAAAGCCCCAGGATAACCCTCTACAGTATGCCTTGTAAACACTTCGTATAAGAAAAGAAGAAATGAAGCTACTGCTACCATCTTGCTTGGATAACCCTCCCTTGTTTTGGAAACAGGACTTAATGGGGTGCTGAATAAGAAAAAGAGTGAAATGATTAATTAAAGCTATTCGATTTTTAACGATAAGTGCCGGAGGGAAACATGCTAAGAGTATTTTGACTGTAAGGATATTATATCTCTGGAGGGTACTTTCAAGCATTCTAGGATTAGAAGAATTTAATCAATCTCAAAAACAAAGCCTATTAATCTTACCCCTTACAAACGCGCAATTCCCTGTTTGGATAGTCATAAATTCTAATGTCGTTCGCATCTTCTCATTAAGTTGTATTTACGATATAGGACGCCACTTGCCAGGTCTAGCTACCTCTGCCGTTTGCATTTCATTTTACCAAACGTGTCATTTATTAGTTCGAGACACTATGAATGCTGGTCTAAAAAACACTTTTTAATTATTGTCAGGAAAAGTAATGCTAATTTAATTTTTATTCAAAACGGCTACCTTATGGCGCAAGAAATCGATTCAGGTATACATTTTTTTGTCATGATACTAGATGTTACGTTTTTACTTTCGGTCGGATTCGTTTTATTTAGTACTTAAAAATTAAAGTTGATATCCATTGTGACAAATACATTTTCAATTGGGCTAAGTCCTCGCTATAGAAACGCAGGGTAAATTTAAGACATTTAACTAGACTGTTTTTATACGTGCAGCCGCAGTAGCCAATAGTGAAACTGCCTGTCAAATCATCACATCTAATTAAATAAAAACGGACCAGTATTATTTCTCAATACGGCACCAGCCTCGTGAAATCTCCTGTATTGTTTGCTGAATGAATTGCGGGGCTCTGAGGAGTTTGAATGATCCACTTCAGTACAGGTTAGTTAGGAGCTGTATTACGGAATTTCTCAAAGTTAAAACAATGGAAACTGCCACCAAATCTAGTGAAACCGCATAAAAACAACCATTCAAAACATTAAAAGAAGGCAAAAACAAAAATGGCACGGATGCACAAACTTGAACGGATTGCAATTGTCATGATTGTTGTTCACAAAAACCGTGATCAGCCACAGTTTTTCAAAGTTCATTCGTTTTGTCTACATCGTTTGATAAAATGTTAAGGAGAAGCAGTGATCTTGTCATTGGCAAGTAATTTCTTCGCTAACGTTAATTTCCATTGAGAATAAGGACATATTAATTGGCAATTCAAAACCGAACTAGGGAACCGTGACGCAGCCCCTCTAAACTGAAAAAAAAACTAAATCGCAGCGACAAGCCAACGCAAACGGCCATCCGTTTCGATCTAAAAATTCACCTTTAGTAACTAATTTGCTTCAAAATTCCAATTAAGCATGTGTCATGATATTTAAATTTAATACCGCGTTAAAGGGTATATCGTTAGTTCCCTCGAGGAATTAAAACTGAAACATCAGTTGCGTTTGATATTGAAAAGTGCGTTGAACGGAAGTGTTCTGCCCTAGAACACTGCAAAGAATAATCACTCAGGCCACTTAAGACATGACTACCTAATTAAATATGCATATTTTGTAAAATGCTATTTAAACCGGTTTGCTTCAATCAGTCATCCTTAAAAGCGAACTACAAATGTGGCTTAATGAAAAAAACTCGTAAAACGTGATTTCAAATAACACGTGACGTTGCTTCTTCAGTGACGTCACAAAACACGTTTTCCTAAACGGGGAAGGTTTGCAAACCTTAATCTTAGGAATTTTCACCATTAAAATGTTACATAAACAGTGTAAATCGTAAATTCGCCTTTTATGGTTGGAAAGGTTATTTATCGTATTAGCTATTTATCTAATTAGCAGGTCACGTGACCCTTTTCCCTTTATTTACCGATTCCTGTTTTACGTAAACACACATAAAAGGCGAATTCTTCAGAACCTTTTTAATAGCCTCTGAAGCATACCTAAAAGAACTTGTTGCTCTTTTATTACCTTTTCCCCATTTCAGAGTAAATATTTTGACCGTTAATTCTCAATTAGAAGTCACGTGACGTAAATTTGAACTTATAAAATGTCTCATATTGCTAAGGTCATTAAGCTTCATTAGTAGTCCAATTTTCAGGATCATTGATAGAAGCAAACCGTTCTAAATAGCATTTAATCAAATTAAGCATATTTCATTATATAGTCATGCCTTAAGTGGTCTGAGCATGTCTTGGAATAAATCAAACTGTTTGTTTACCAAAAAAACGTTTTGTTTCCGTTTTTGGATCTAGCGTGCGCGACAGGCGTCGCGGTTAGTTTTTTTTCTTTTTTTATTACAGAGCGCTCGAGGATTACATCGCAATCTTGAAAGTCAATAGTCTTGATCCTCTTCGGGATTTGAGGTTAGGCTGCCGTTCTATACCAAAAAAACATAACCAAACCCAATCTCTCTATTTACTTCTTAGGGTATCAACTTTCAATGTCGAGCAAACAAGATGATTAAGCCTCATAACAAAACAGAGGGCCTACTGGAACCCACAGACGTCATCAGTAACCAAATCCGTTATGTCGTAGCTGGAGTATATGCGCTTTTGACCGTCACAGCCATCAGCCTTAATACACCTGTCCTCATCACGTTCATAAGAGACAAATCTCTTCGCACGAATTCTAACCGACTGATTTTCAGTATAGCAGTCGGCGATTGGCTTCACGCAGTATTGGCGTTTCCTTTTGGTATTGTCTCCAATGCGTCAGGTAACTGGCGAGTGATGGCCAGTGGAATATGCAAGTGGTACGCTTTTATCACAACTTTCTTGTCATTTGGCATCATGCTCCATCACGCTACCTTTGCTATCGAACGAGCTATGGTCATAAATTACGCGGTGGAGCCGTCCTCTGTAACAAAGAATCTCGATTATGCCATTTTCGGACTTTGGTGTTTTGCATTTCTTTGGAGTATCTTTCCGCTGTTTGGCTGGTCATCGTACGCTCCTGAGGGTGGGGGAACGCTTTGCGCCATTCACTGGCAATCGTCCGAACTACCTGCTATCGTTTACATCCTGTGCATTTACGTCTTCTTCTTTTTAGGACCCATTATTGCCATGGTTACATCTTTCTTCTTGATTTACCAAATTGTAAAGAAAATGAGTAAGAATGCGCATGACATGTGGGGAGAGGCAGCTGCCCCTACTCTAGAAGCCGTAGTAGCTGAAGGAAAAACTGCTCGTATGGCGTTTATTATGTCATTTTGTTTCATCTTTGCCTGGACACCATACGCCGTTGTTTCCCTGTACGCCATGATAGCAAAACCAGAGATTATACCGCCATTGGTGGCTATTTTACCCGCTCTATTTGCAAAATCGGCTTCATGTTATAATCCAATTATTTATTTCTTCTTGTTCAAAAAATTCAGAGATAGTCTCAGACAAACAGTCCGGGAATTGTGCGCGCGCTTCATGGGACAAGAAACTACAGGTGCTGCAAATGCCAACGTTGAGCTGATTGTAACTTCCTTATCTACTGACGATACGAACGAAAACAAGAAGACTAAAAGCAGGTTACGAGAAAGCAGCTGCTAATTGCACAAAAGTGGTCACTAGTAGCAAAGATTTGATCGGTGATATAGGTTGTATATAGCCTGCACTGTCCTAATGGTCATTCGTAGAGCCGTCATTTTTAGCTTCAACTGCCATGTTTCACGTTATTTACTCTCTTTTGCATGTCAGTGAACTAAAAAGAGTTGAACAAAACTGAATGCAAGGCTGGCACTACGGCAAAGGGCTGATTTATTATAGGCCAATATTTTGGCTAAAAAGAGTTAGTTAGCTTTAAGCAGCAAAGTAGAGAGACACATATACAGTTAGTTAGATAGCATTACGCAGCAACAGGAGTGCTTAGAAGTATCGAATGGTGATCTGCGACCATGATGGAAAATTGAGACCTGCTCTCTCCCCTCTAAGTCGCGGATGGGCCGGAAATAGTGAACTTTGGTTTTCGCGAAGCTTCATCCAGGATTTTGGAGGACGGGGGTTTTAACTTTACTTTTTATTCCTTCCGGAAGATTGTAATTTTGGTAAACGTCTTTCAGGTTTCCAAAATAATCAAGGTCCTTACTTTGCTCTCTAAAGCGAGTTGGCTGATCCGGGGGGATTTGCAAATACAAATAGCTGGCGTGGTCATTAGAAAATTCCTAAAAAAATCCCTAATAGCTGTTCGGAGGAATCTTTCTTTGTGGGCATGTCTTTAAGTGATTTTTACTTGAGAAGTAAAAAAATCAGTTGAGTAACAAAAAAGTTCCCATAATTTTTCAGCTCTATCTAGCCTGCGTAGCAGGCCCTTGGAAGTAGTGGGAGCAAGAAAGAACGTGTCTCCCTCTCGCGCCCCTGTTCTTTCTGGCGCTCACTACTCCCAAGCGCCTGTTACGCAGGCTAAGCTCGATCAGGAGCCTGTAATCCGGAGAGAGTAACTCTCTTGTGCCTATGCAACGGCGTTTTCACAGAGCAATTTATTTTTAGATAAATTTTTTCGCAAATTTTGAATATCAAATAAGCCTTAAAATCCTCCAGCAAAAATCGGAGACAAGAAAATAGTATTTCAAATATTTATATTAGCAAGCATCTACTTTTTATTTTGTCGTTATCGTAGTATGGATGTGCACACACACGGAACAGTTCTTCCATTTTCGCGGGAAAAATATTCCAAAATGATAGATGCTAAAAATAAACTGATCTGTGAAAACGCTGTTGGCCAGGCCATGGGTTGGTGTATGTGTGCCCCTTGCTTTAAGTTTGTCTGAAGTATGGGAGTTGCAGGCTCAGTGTCATGGGCTCCTGACAAAATCAAATACTCTGAGAGCGAGGCTGGAACACGAATAGGTCCGGATGGCGTTACGCGTGGAACAGTTGGAGTCGTCTGTACGAGGGCTAGAGCTCAGTTGGTAACTGGTGATCCTGCAAGGAGTGAATGGGGCAGATTTAGGCGGTGTGGGATACTCCCCCCTTCAAATCCTATACGGGTACAAATTTACCACCCAGTGGGGTCTTGAAGGATCGGGAACATTTAGGGATTAGTATAGGATAATTGGGAACTACCCAACAGGCCCTCCCTTAACCGAACGTTAACTCCTTCTTTCACTTAGTTAGGTAAGGGGAGGGTTAAGTGTAGGTTTCTCAGAATCTTGTAGTCTGTTTGACTACCCCTCCCCTAATCCAACGTCAACACTAACTTCTAACCGAGTGTAAAACGTTAGGTTAGGGGAGTGGTCAACCTGGGGAGTGGTGGGTGGGCAGTTTACTAGAATTTTATATTGATGATCCAGTAAGACTCTGTTCAACTACCCCTCTCCAAAAGTTAACACTCACGTCTAACCGAGTGTCAAATGTTTGGTTAGGAGACGGGTAGATGAGAAAGAAAATTGTAAATCCTTTATTAAGCACCCTGGAGGGCGGGCTTATTTATTTCAAGCTCGTTTGAGGGGTGGGGGTGTCTAAATAGCGTGAGGGAAATATTTGAGAGGGGGGGCTTTTTTAATTCAGCAAAAATGAATATGAATTCTTCATAAGAACCATCTAGAGCGCAAAGTGGAAAAGCTCATAGACAAGATGAAGTTGGAGGTCATGCGACTGAAGATAAAAAAACCCACAGGTATCCCAAGCTCGAAATATGAGCATCGGCGAACATCGGCATTGTTGCGTAACATTCGAAATATAAGGATTTGTATGGGATAAAAACCTATCGTTTCTGTAAACTACGAAAATGAAAGGATTTCAATAAAAAACAGCTTACCTTACTTAAAATGTGTGTTACGTCTCTCCTGTGTGGTCCACGCGCCGATGTATGGCCGTTTTTTGGGTTTTTATGTAAACGGTTTTCTCTCTGTATAAAGGTAAAACCGTGTACATAACCCATAACCTTTATTAAAATCCTTTCATTTTCGTAGGTTTCCCCACACAAATCCTTATATTTCGAATGTTACGCAACAATGCCGATGTTCGCCGATGTCATATTTCGAGCTTGGGCTACCTGTGCGAAAACAAACCCCAAAATCCAGCGCGTGAATAAAGGCAATAGCCCTCACAGGATCAGTCCACATCAAATCCTAGAAAGTTAGGCGGGTTACGTTAAAAAGGGCAATTTCTTTTTTAGCGGGGCACGGCATGAGATATACACGCCTATTCCTAGTGGGTGTCACAAGTTGTCACGCGTTTCTCGCATTAGGAACTCGTGATTAACAAAAATGTCACAGATCAAATATCACTTGGCCTAGTTTAGAGATTGCATTCAGGTTTTCAGTTCAAAGGGGAAGGAATCCCGAGGAAACAAGTTTGAGCGCCGCTTAAAGCTGTGAGTATAAACTTAGCGCCCTTTTTTTTTATATATATTTTCATTCAATTTGAATGTTGTTAGCTTCACCTTAGATATATTTTGTCACATATTTAATTTAAAGAGAACTTGTATATGATAATTGTTCGACAAGACGACGGGTATTATATTATGCATCATTTAGGTTGTCGTTCACGATACGTGTACAAACTGTCCTTTAGTTTTTTTGCTTAAAAATTTGTCTAATAGTTTTTCAGGCGTTTAATTAATTGCGTTGATCTTTTCATGTATGGCCCAAGTATCTCAACGTTGGTTTTGAAGGAAGAACGATTACACGACGTCGTATATCATTTTCATGACCGACGGATTACTCAACTTGTATGCATGGAATCTTTTTCCCAAGGAAAGGGACCGGATTTTCCTTTGTTACTAAGTCACAGGCTGTGTTCAGTGTTTAAAAGACCCTGATGGAACAAAACGGCAGAATATTGAAATTTTTTAAAGGTCGAAATTCCGGGGAGGGGAAGGTACTGTTAACCTAAACTAGCGAGCAATCCCTAAATGCCATTAACCGATTTGCAGTCGACTGGGCTGAAATAGAGAAAAATTCGTTTAAGATTTGAGCTGGCTAGTGGGTTTGAAATTCTGATAACATTCAAGATCGGTCCGATCCTGGAAAAATTTTTACTTCATCCCTTTACGCTTAATTAAGCGGAGCCGTCATCCTCCCGGGTATTAGCGCTCGCTGTTAGGCTTTATTATATAAGCTAAATCACATTCTTTGGCCGGACGTTGAACCTGACCTTGAAAAACACGATCGGGTTTTCTCGTGCCGTGATTTGTTATTTTATCTTCAAGAACTTTGTCCCAACGCCAAAGAAAGCAAAGAAACTGCTGACAGCCTTATGTAGTACGTGTCACCTTGCTAGTGCGCCTTGCAGCGCTTTTAGTGCTGCTTGCTTCGTTCGCAGCAGACTAGTCGGCGTGGAGCGGCAATTGCGTGACTCCGTTTGGAAGGCCTCTAGTGTGTGTTGCTATTTCGCGCAATCTCTTTCCCAGGGTCCTCTCCTATTACTCGTCACAGAGAACGAGAAGGACAGCGAATCTTGCACTGCCACGTGTGCATTGGACAATTGAAGACATTAGGGAGGGGTCCTTCGATTTCCTTTTTTGCTTGAAAAAACAAAAACAAAAACACAAAACAAAACAAACAAACACAAACGCAGTTCCAGTGACTGGAATCCGTTTCGGCCTTTCAGGGCACCTTCTAACTAGTCATTCCAAGTCAATTCCTGATGTTTCCATTTCTACTGAAAACGCTGAACACTGCTCTTTCAACAGACCTCCCTACTAAGGAGTTCGGTCCTAAAGCGCCAGAGCTGTAGGATAGGAGATCGTACTATGTATAACTGGAAGAACTATTCACAGGCGAGCTCGACACAAGCCGGGCCCATAATAGTCTTTCAACATTAAGGATGCTGCCTTAACCTAATCAATCTAGGAGTTACTGGAGTTAAGCGGCGTAGGCGATCTAGTTGTATCATTTGTAATGGACAGTTTAGGTCCTTTGCAGTTGGTCATTCACGTGGTACACAACCGTCATGCTGTAGGGACGCTTTGGGACGAGACAAATAAAATGTTTACATCATTAAATATGTTAATTTCCTCCTATTGCTCTCCACCATGGCGGTTTTGTATCACGTGAATGCCTAGCTGCAAAGGTCCAATTGAAGGGACCGTTTTAAACGAGTGGTTTATCTTGGCTGGTCAAGTGATAGCTAAAACGAGACCCTTTTTGTAATGTTGTTTCTTTGCGGCAAGTAGGAGCTTTTAGCTTGATAAGCTAAGCTAAACGAGCTCATGATTTATTCAACACTGCGAGGCTGATGCCTATAAACAAAGAAAATCTATCACATATATTAAAGCGTAGTTATTGTTCTTTGACAGTTTGGATTCTTGACGTTCACGATTCAGTGATTCACTTCATTGAATTCTTATAAACTTAGTGCTGTATGATTACTTTGGAAAGCACAGTATAATACAGGCCATTAAGGATTACCCAACTGAAGCTCGATCCGGTATGTCTTAACATATATTCATGTCGTTGTTACATTCCTCTGAGGCCAGTTTTCATTGACAAACTTATTAATTTCCGCAATTTGGTTTTCCCGGATACAGGGTCAGACGTGAAACGTCGACATTACAAATATCTAGATTCCAAGTTCTCGATGCTTGTCCCCTTTTCTTGAAGTTAACTCGTTAGGACCAGGAAAATCTGATTCTTAAATCGAAATATCGCGAATCATAGTGTAGGTTAGAGCTGCCCGAAAAGCTAGATAAGTTGTTTCTTTAACTTAGAATTTTACTGCACATTGATGTTTACATCGCACGCACCAGTGAAATTGTTTCTTTAATTTGTCCGTGAAGATTATATTTGCGTTTAGACTTCGAAAAACGATCTTCGGGAGTGTAATTGCTTTGTAATTTGGTGGACCATTTTCTTTCTGTTGACGAACTGCACGAAGTTACATCAAATACATAAAATACGGCAATTGAATCAATGGCTGAAGACTTCTGTCCATCATTTTAGGTTTGAAAACTTTCGATTCGTGGCTGATTTTATTTCCACCTTTGCAGGCACTTTATTATAGCGATGGGAATACTGGCTTTTCTCGTCGTCACGCTCCTTGCCATGCCACTGACCAGTTCAGGTCGCAACTGACGCTGACCTTGACAGTTGCCATCCTTGGGCCCAGTGCTCGACCAGCGGACAGAAGGGTCCGTTGTGGTCCTGGGGATGGTCAAATGACAACGGGGAAAGTCCTGATGACAAGCCTGCCTTCGCAACAAGGCCATGGCCAGAATGGCCGAGATGCGAAGAATTGCCAAGAGGTAAGGATCGGATAAGGTAAACGGTCGGACTAAGTATATAGGACGCATTATTTGTCGCAGATAACATTGTAATTGTATACATTGTTAACCCACGGAGCACTCGGCAGTTCTTAAGAACTCGTTGAAACGTGTCAGTGCGCTGTAGATCGAAAAGGAATTTGGAAGTGCTGGTTTTTAAGGAGAGGGGAAAACCAGAGTACCCAGCGAAAAATCCTTCAGAGCAAGGGAGGATTCGAACCCGGGTCACATTGGTGGGAGGCGAGTGCTCTCACCTTTGTGCCACCCATTGCTACTCGAAACAACCATTTTATTTGCCAAGTTAAAACGAAGTTTACAAGAACCGCCACATATTCACTGCAACAGAAGTATTTCGTTGGTGCAACAAATCAGGTGTGCTCAATGTAGATTTTGTTCATCGGTAAATGAGAGTCTTTGCTTCTACCGTTGTCCGGACAATTTATTCGGACATTGTCCGATGGCCGACTCGTATTTGCAGCTTTGAATATTGTAGTCTTACAGGACCTTGATGGAGGTATACAATTTCAGTTGTCATTTACAATGTTGGCTTTTGTGGGTTGTCAGTTTAATTCTGGGCCACTGATTTGTCAGTTGATTGCTTGTTATATAATCCCCCACTTAAAAAATTATCGTAAAATTCCGAAAATAAGCCTCGAGGCTTATATTTTTGAAAGGCCCTTTTTGAGGGGCTTATTTTTGGAGGGGCTTATATTCGGAGGAGCTTATATACGGAGGGAAATTTGCGTTTCAAAACCGATTGGGCTAGCCTTATAGTTGGAAGGAAATTTACCGTTTTTGCTTGTTTTTACCTTGTATTTGAGGGCAATTCTCCAAGTACAAGCCCCCGGGGGGCTTATATTTGAAGGGGCGATTTAACGGGGGGTTTTTTGCGTTACCGGTTTGGGGGGCTTATATTTGGAGGGGCTTATACATGGAGGGGCTTATTTTCGGAATTTTACGGTATAGTGAGAATGGGTACAAGATTTGGGTGCAGTGATTTCTGTGATCCTCTGGGTCAACAAACGTTAGTTATAGTTAGTCAATGGAGACAACTATTGACCAATCGCAAGAAACACTCGTCCACCCAAACAATCCCAGAAAAATAGTTGCGCCTAAACCCTTGTGGTTTCTGGAGTGAGGAATCGTGAGTATCCATAATCACTCAACCTCATGGCGTGGAAAAATGGCTCTGTGGTATTTCTGGAAAGGTCTTACAGCCCTCTAATGATATACAAAGGCTTACGCATGCGCACTGTGGCCAGTTGAAACAGGACTGACAATTTTTTGTTTGTTTCTATAGCAACATGAGAGGTATTGTCTTCATGACGGTGGCTGCTCGCAATCTCTTCCATGAGGGAGGGAGTAGCACTGAAGACTTGATCAAGGAGCCACGTGATCAGCGCGGTCTTGTGCATGCGTTCCTGGGACACAACAAAACAAGTGCACTGTTCGTTTATGATCGATGTGGTTGGCTTGTGGATGAGCTGCCTACTATGTTTCCAACAACTGTTGCGGAACTTGACCATTGGTGTGTTTTACAACTCCTTAAAATTAAATATGTAGCCGAGTATCTCCAAGTACTTAGGGTGCTACTTTGTAATAGTTTTTGATGCATTTCTAGCCATTTCAGGACACCAAAATTGCAAATTCTCTTCGGGGGAATTTTCCCCCCGCGACCCCTAGTATGTTCTCGCTTATGTGTTCGGATTAGCCTGTTAGCCTCCCCCCCCCCCCCCCCCCCCCCCCCCCCCCCCCTTTAAAAACCCCCCCCCCTCCCCGGGCCTCGAAAACCTTTTCCCTCTGACAGAAAAAAAGTACACCCCAACATGGCGGTTTTTTCATAAATCTTTTTACGTTTTTAAAAAAATAGGTTTTTTTTTTTTTTTGGTGTATTTTTGAATTTTTTTTATTGAGAATT